CCCTGAAATCACTAGTGTGACACTTCTTACCCTCAAGGATATACTGTCCTAAGAGACGCACCACCTCCCCGGGGGAGGCAGAAAAGCACACGAGAGAGGCAGGAGGCTTGGCCACCACCCGGCTGGGGGCTCCCGGGGAAGAGGCAGCTCCGGGGACAGGCACTCACCTGCCAGGAGGAAGAACAGGCTCAGGGCGGCCTCCTGCATGTCAGCGCTGGCCTAGAGGGGTCCAGAGGCGGGTCCAGCGTTAGCAGGGCCACTGGCCCACCAGGCCCTGTGCCTTTGGGCCCACCACCTGCCCCTGTCCCCAGCCAGGGTGCTCAGCCCCCTGGGGCGGGAAGGTGGGGTTGAGACTACGGGGCTGAGAGAGAGGAAGGAGCCCGGAAGTGACGTGGGGGCTGGGCCAGAACTCAGACCTGGCGAGGGAGCGGCTGGAACAACTCACTGGACAGGACTTTAAGCCCCCGAGACCAAGTGAGGGTGGCAGTGCCCACTGTTGTCCTCGTACAGATGGGGAAACTGAGGCTCCGAGAGGTTAGAGTAGGTGCCCGGGGTCGCCTGGCCAGGAAGCAGGATTTAACCCGGGCCCGGCTCCCCAGCAGCTGCTCTAACTCAGGACTGTCAGGGCCCTGGGGCGTTGTGGGAAATGTTGGCAGCCGGGTGGCAGGAGGCCCGGTTCTGGGAGCGTCTCCCATAGACAGCTCAGAGCCTGCCCGGCCCTGCCCCGACTCCGCAGGCATCGGGCGGGGCGCTGCGCTGTGGGGAGGAGACATCTGCAGGCTGGGGTGGGGGTCGGTCGGGGGGGGACAAACTTGGCCTGGCTGCAGCCACAGCCCCATCTCTGTCCCCCCTGCCTCTACCCCCTCCCAGCCCCAGCCCTGGCCGGGCAGCCCCCTGCTCTTGCTCCCCAGCCCCTGACCCACCCTGGGCCCTGCCAGGCTCCTCCTGGCAACAAACGCTCCCTCTTTCTCAGGTAGGCCTCTCCAGCCTGGCATGGCGCTATCCTCCCACCCCGTGAGCCCGCGGTAGGGCCCCTGCCGTCTCCCGCACCCTGCGTAACCTTGACAGCGAGAGCCCACGCTCACTCCTCTCGCCCTGTGCCCGCGCTGTCAGTGACCTTGCTGATTTCACTCATTGCGGCGCCTTCCGCCCCTGCGGTCACCCATTATGTCCTCACTTCACCGAGGGCAGAACCCACGCTCAGAGAGGGGACGGCGCGGTCGGCAACCACCTGTGCAGGCGTTTCCCGAATGTTCCCGTGGACTCCTCCCCTCCGTCTCCCCGTGCCCGGGAATCCCCAGCGTCCAGTTAAGTCCAGACGCTGGCCTCACAGTTTTAGTCTGAGCAACCGCTTTTCTGCAGGAAGAGGCCCGCAGCCTCGGGGAGCATCATGCAGCCATTTAGGACCCAGAAGAGTGTCGGGAGCGGGCGTGGGCTGGCGGGCAGGGCGGCACAGCGGTGTGGGCACAGGCCGCGGTGGCCTGCTGTTGTCAAAGCCGCCTCGGGAGGCTGTCACTCCGCGACGATACTAATACCGGTGGTGACAGCCGGTGCCCACCGAGACGTCACCCCACGCCAGACGCTTTCTCAGTCGTCACACTTATTCACTCGCATGATCTCCGCAGCTGGGCGAAGTTGGTGCCATTGTTGGCCCACGTTGCCGTTGCAACCCTGTCCCCCCTGCCCTGTGCCTGCGGCCCCGTGGCTGCCTGCGGAGACTCACTCTCACGCCTCTTTCCACAGGGCCCTCCCGGCCACTCCTGGCCTGTGACACCCGCCATCCCCCATTCCCATGACATCACCCAGCGCCCGACACAGGAGGCTGATCAGTGGCGTCAGCCTCGGGGGCCTCTGCACGACAGTTTCCAGCCGGCTTTTCCGGAGGCTGCAGGGAGCCGGGAGCTGGGTGGCCGCCCTCACCCCTGGGTGCTCCTGCAGTGCAGGAGGTGGGATGGCTTAGAGTGGGGGCAGCCCGCCCACCCCACTCTGCTCTCCCTTCTGTTAGGGGTGTGTGGCACACCCCTCCCCTCTGTCCCTGAGCGCCCCAACCAACTCCCCATTGTGTAGCCTCCCAGACAGCCACATGCCCTTTCCCTAGAGGTCTCCGGAACCCACGTGCTCCCAACGCCCGGACACCCGGGTCCACCCGCTCTCTCCCTGTCTGCCCAGAGTCCCCCAATCCACCTAGATACCCCTGGTCCACTTGGACACCCCCATCCACCCAGGCACCCCCAGTCCAGATACCTCCCATCTACCCAGACTCCACCAGTCTTTCCAGACACCCCAACCCCACTTGGGGGTCTCACCCTCACCCCAGCTGGCTCACCCCAGTCCCCCGGAGGATGATGGGGGAGGGTCACAGCAGGGGAAGAGTTTTCTCCAACCTCCTGCCCCCAGAGAAGGCCCTTGAACGGGGAAGGTTCTGGGGCCTTCAGAGCAGAGCCCCTGTGTGGCGGGGACAGTTGGGGGTGGCAGGGAGAAAGCGAAAGCAGAGCCAGAGCGGGCTTGGCGGGAGGGCGCCCAGCGCTCACCTGCGCGGCTCACCAGGTTCCGGGGAAATCGGGGCTGCCAAGCCCGAGTGCAGCCTTTACCCGAGGCTGCCACGCCCTGAGCAAACCTGGGCAGGTAGAGAACAAGTCAGACTCCCCAAGGCTCAGGGCCTCCCCCACCCCATTCCTGCTCTTAAAGAGACAGCCTCGCCCCTCCCCCACCACTGGCGCAGAGGGCTCCGTGGGGTCACCTGAGGCCAGGGCAGCCTCAGGTGTGGGGGAAGCATAGGGTGGGCTGAAACTTGGCCTCTTGAATTAATTAGGGGAGGGGCCTTCTCTCTAATCTCCTGTGCCCAGAGAGGGGCCTGGAAGGGGGAAGATTCTGGGATCCTTAACAGCACGGCTTCTGCCTTGCAGGGCTGTGGAGGAAGGGGACCCTCTGATGTACAACCTGACTCCTTTCACTTAGGAGGTGCTTTGCTCGGGGAAGGGATTGCTGGCAATTACGGGGGACTCAAAGTCCCCTTCCAGGCCATATCTTGCTGTCGGCGTGGCTTGAGGCTCAGCCAAAGATGCTGGTACAACCAAAGTCATGAAGTGGCGGCGGGGCGAACATGGGGGAGAGGCTGGAACAGTGAGTAGGGGTCAGGTGGGGGCTGTGGGGCCTTAGACCAGGCCGTAAGCCCCGCCCTGGGAAACTGAGGGCTGGCCCCCAAGCACCAGCCCAGGCTCTCCCCGAGGGTGCAGGAAGCCAGAGGCCTGGGTCTCGGGAGTGGGCGCTGGGCTGGGGGCTGCCTGCGGCCCCGCTCCAGATGCGGCCCCCTGCCCTGTGCAGCTCCCCCGCTGCCTCCCTCTTCTCTGCCGCCTCGTCCAGGCGTCCCTTCCGCTGGGGTCTGTGCAGGCCCCCCCATGGTCCCAGTTGGGGGTTCCCCCTCCCCTCAATTCCGCCTTCTCAGACAGAGGGACTTTTGTCCGGGGCTGGATGCAGAACAAGGCGTCTTTGAGCGGCTGGAGGAGGATTGGGGTCACAAGGAGGGGCAGGGCCAGAGAGGGGTGGCTCTGTGATGGCCACCAGCTGGACCCAGGTGACCCCCAGCACCACCATCGAGGGGTGGGAAGGGGGCTCGGGAGCCAGGCCGGCCGGGGATGGGGAAAGGGGCTCAGGTCCAGGCTCTGCTGGGGGCCGGCCTGGGGAGCAGGGAGAAGGACCCCCTACTCCTCACTGGGCAGGGACTGGGGCAAGGAACGCCCGCCCAGCCGCATGCTTCCCTTACGTGGTTCCCTGGGGAAATTTCTCTATCCCAGGTCTTAGACGAGGACAAGGCCCCCTACCTCCCACCCCATCAAGGAGGGGCCAGTCCCCAGAGGAGCAGAGAGGGCACCCAGGGTGGGGCTCAAAGCAGGAGGCTCAGGAGGAGATAGGAGCAGAGGAAGGGGAGACCTGGAGGCCAGTCTGCCCAAGGGGGTCTTTGTGTCTGTGCGGAGAGCATCTCTTCCCCAGACACGAGGTTGAGTGTCTCTGGGAAGACCCCTTGGTGGTTTGGGGAGTGGGGTGGTGTCTCCCTCTGCTGGGAGTCCTCGGAACTGCAGGCGTCCGAGAGCCGGGCGGCTGGGAAGCGGGCGCCCTGGGCTTTGTCAGCCTGCGAACTCTGGTGCTGAGGGCCAGGCAAGAATTGCAATGAGTGCAGCAGGACAGGTGTGCAGGACAGGTGTGATACCGTAAGGCATGGTGGCAACGGGTAAGCTGGAGAGCTATTGTCCTGTCTAACAAGACTGGAGCAAGTCCCTGTGAGATACTGAGGTATGACCCAGGTACCCTGCCGAGGGACAGAGGCCAGGCGATGGCAAATGTGCGGTGTGCTGCCACCTGGGAGGGGGATATCTTTGGAGAGCAGCGGCCACGCTGCTTCCGCGGAGGGAACCGGGCGGCTGGAGAACGGGTGGAAGGGAGCATCACACGCCCTCGTTCACCTTTTGAATTTTACATCCTGAAAATGAACCACCTTTAAAATGTTTAACCGAAGAAAGCAGAGGATCGCCTCTGCATCAGCGGTCCCCAGCCTTTTTGACACCAGGGACAGCTTTCGAGGAAGACAGTTTTTCTGCGGATGGGGGGACTGGGGGTGTCGCCACCTGGGCTCCACCTCAGGGCATCAGGTTTTGGATCCTCACGGGCAGCGCAGCCTGGACCCCTGGCGCGCGCAGTTTGCAGTGGGTTCCCGCAGCTGCCAGGGTCTGATGGCCGCTGATCTGATGGGGCGGGGGCGGGGCTGGGCGGTGATGCGGGGATGGGGAGCGGCTGTGGGTGCAGGTGGGGCCTCGCTAGCTCGTTCTCCGCCTGGTGCCTGGCCGGCTGCAGACCCGCGCCGGTTTGTGGCCCCAGGTGTTGGGAGCTGCAGCTCTACGAGGTTTGAGCTAATTGCCGCTGTATTTCTGACAGATGTCAGAAATCTGAATCTCTATGCGGAATTCCCAATGTTAAAAGTTGGCTCAGACTTAAAAAAAAAAAATTATGCAGGTCAAACGAAACACGTATAAGGCCTGGTTTCAGCCTGGGGGACCACCAGGTAGAGCCTTCTGACAGCTCTGCGTTTGTAATCGCCGTGGTCTTACGTTCTGACGAACCCATAAGGGCTCGTACCCAACCCCGGCCAATGATAAAGTCTCTCTGGGTTGGACCTGAACATGCCACACACAAGCGTGAGTTGGGCTGGGGCTGGGCCTGGGGTGTATGGCCAGGAGGACTCTGAGACCCCCGTGTGACAGGCACTGAGACTCCGGCAAAGGGCTGTAGGGAGCGGAGCACATGCAGCCACTGGTGCCCTGTCAGGGTCCGGTCTCTTCTGGAGCGAGGCTCCCAGGCTGATTTCACTTGGGTCCTATTTTAAATTGTGCATAGATATAACATACATTTTACATATTAATATATGGATAATGAAAATATTTGAAATAGTTCCTTCATTTTGCTTCTGAAATCATTTTGTCCTGAAGAACCTGTTGCAGCTACGATTGGCTGTGATTTCTCAGCATCCTAGGAATTCTTGCAAAACGAGAAAAACCAAACCTACAGATAGTTTCCGAATATCACAGTTTTCAAAAACGCCAAACTAAAACACAAAATCAAAGCCATGGGGTGTTATGTGGTCATTGATTCCAACTTTTATTGATTTTTTTGCTTTTTTCTTTTTAATTATTATGGGAACGTAAGAGTTGTGTATCTTTATAGGATACGTGTGATGTTTTGATACAGGCGTGATGTGAATTGATCGCGTCGGGGTAATTGGGGTATCCGTCACTGTTATCGATTTCGTTTCGGGAATTTTATTGTCCTTGACTTCAGGCTGTGGGTGTTCCTGCAGCCTCCTGGCAGATGTAGGGACCCTACGTGGGCCACCCTGGGTGGGGGAGCTGGGGGCACCCAAGGTGAGGGGTGCAGTTGGGCGGGGCCCTGCCTTCCCGGGTGGAGCCTGAGCGGCCAGGCTGATGGGCTGGGGGGGCGTGGTTGCGGCGACGTGCCACAGCCCCACTTCCTGGGCAAGACAGGGACAGGGAGGCCGGTGGACAGGTGGATGCGGCTCCCTGGGGTCTCCGGATGCAGCGCCTGTGGGAGGAGAGCAGGAGCTGGCAGGTGGCCCTGCCCTGCCACCTTGGGGTGGTGTGGCCGCGGGCATGTCACTGTTTGGCTTCCAGGAGCTGTGTGAGGTGCCACACGGGGTGGCCAGGGACCTACAGGCCCCCTTGAGATCTGCTCCCCGCCCAGAGAAGCTAGAAAAGTAGATCCTGATTTTTAAATATCGTTGACTGATGTTTAGTTTTCTTAACACTTTATAGAGCAAATAACTTGGGAGGTTCACTTGAGGCCAGGAGTTCAAGAAAAGCCTGGGCAACATAGGGAGTCCCTGCCCCTAAAAATTAAAAAAAATTAACCAGGCTCAGCGGCTGAAGTCCCAGCTTCTCAGGAGGCTGAGGTGGGAGGATCCCTCGAGGCCAGGAGTTTGAGGCTGCAGTGAGCTGTGATTGGGCCGCTGCACTCCAGCCTGGCAATATAGTGAGAGAAAGCAAATGAGACAAAATATTAGGACCTGGTGACCCTGCATGAAAGACATTTGGGTTCATTGTACTGGTTATGTCAGTTTTCTATAGCTGAAAAAATTCAAAATAAAAGTTGGGAAAAAAGTCCATAAAAATGAAAAATTAAAGTTAATGCAAAATAATATAGCATGAGATAAAAAACATCACTGAAAGAAAGGAGGCAAAAGTAAATTTGGAATCGAGTAACCTAAAAGTTAAACAGAATCCAATTGAATTTAAGAGATTATGTACTTATGCATACTGCTATATGTTTTATATCAAATCTTTTTTATGTGTATATGTCTATTTTCCCCTTTTAGATAAAAGCCTGTGTTCATTCTGGCCCTCCCACGATGTCTTTCTTTTGGTTTCTCCGGGATTGACTCGAATTCCATGACCCCTTGGGGCCCAGCTCTGTCCCTTCATGGCTGCAGCGGCTTAACCCCCGGCAGGGTGGCGCTGGGCTGGCAAGCTCCCACCTGGCTGCGGAGGCAGGACGATGAGTCTGCAGTTCTAAGAGCCTGGCTGGCACCCTCGGCCACGGGGAGGCACTGACCCAGCAGCCTGCTGGCAGCCGGGGCCCCTCTCAGCATCCCCCGCCTCCCCCTGCACTCTGGCGTCCAGAAAGATGGTGCTTGGCCCGGCCCGTGCCAGCGCCGCAGCCCTGTGCTCGCCGACTGTCTCTCTCTGCTCTCGGCTACCCGTGCCGCCCGCTGCGGGACTCACTGCCTGCCAGGCAGGTTTGGTTCCTCCTGCTGGGGAAACTGTGGCACGTGGGCTCAGGCACGGAGCAGCAAGTCGCTGGCTTAATTAAGGGTCAGAGTCTAGATCCCAACCCAGGTCTGGCTCCACAGCCCACGTGGATGCAGGGGGTGCGGGGGGGGGGGCCAAAAAACAGCAGGGCATTTGAAGAGGGGGTATGAGTCGAGAGGATCTTTCCAGAACCAACCGCCTCTCCCCCTCCACTGTCCCCACCCTGGCCCGGCCTCCGTCCCCTCCTGCCTGGACACCCCAGCGGCCTCCTCCCTGGTCTCCTGCTCTGTCCGTGCCCCTATGGCCTGCTCCCTACCTGCAGCCAGAGGGAGCCTGGGGACACCTGAGTCAGGTCAGGGCCCTCCTGGCTCAGAGCCCTGCCCGGGCTGCACCTGGCTCCAGGTAACAGCAAAGTCCTCAGCTCAACCCATGACCTCTACCTGGTCCCTGTCCCAGCCCCTGACGGATTTACGCTTCCCCTAGACGTGCCTGTGGGTCCCTCCCTTGTCTTTTTTCAGGGTTTTGCTCACACCCCACCTTCCCAACGGGCCTTTCCTTGGCCACCCGATCTGCAGCCACGTCTTACACCTGGAAGCCACCGCCCCTGCCTATTCTGTTCTCTGTTTTTCCATAGCACCAGCATGTGGCCCCCAACATTCTGTAGAATATACACTTACTGGTTAAGTCCGTGGTCTCTCTCCCCTGTGAAATCTCAGCGTAGAACACAGGGCCTGACACATAGTAGGTGCTCAGAAAATATTCGCTGAGTGAAGGAAAATCGTTCTTGCTAGTTACTATATATTCCAGGCCCCACGCAGATGAATCAGGCACCCCACTCCTTAAGTTGGCCACAGCTTTAGGGGCACACAGTAGGCCCGCAGGTGGAGAGGGAAGGAACTCAGAGCCAGACAGCCTGGGTTCAAATCCCAGATCTACCACTTTCTTTGCTGTGTGACCTCAGGCAAACAAGTCTCCCTTCCTGGGCCTCAGTTTCCCCATCTGTACAACTGGGCTAATAATAGCCCTCGCTCTGCAGGGCTGCCCTTTGGATTCAATGGTGTTGTTGTGTGAGATGCTGACAGCGTGACTAACTCTGAAAGCTGGTCCCCTTCCTGGAAGGGGATGGAGTGGGAGGGATGCGGCTGTGTGTTTTCCAACAGCCAACAATGGGACTCTTGTGAGCTTGGGCCCTCAGGCGTGGAAAACACATTCCCCCTGTGGGTTCTGGACAAAAGTCTCAGGTCCCAGAGCGGAGGTTTACCAGGGCCTTTACATTCTTTGAAGATTGTTGCAACAAGAAATATTGGTTTGGGGATTGTGAGGACGTTGGGGTGGGCTCCCGTTTTACCATCTCTCCCTGCAAGGAGCAGCCAGATCTCTCCCACCTACAGCTCCTAAGGATAGAATCCGATAGGCTTAAGACAATCTCTGGGCCATGACGATTGGTTCAGTGGGGTCCAATCAAAGTCAAACATAGGAATTTTGTTTAGTTAGTACTTAGGGTAAGAAAAGATTTGGGTTTGGGGCAGTGGGGAATACACATTTGAGGCCCAGAAACTCTGCAGTTATTTTGCTACCACAAGAAAAGCCATACCATAGAGACAAAGCTAATACTATAAAGAGGACCACAAACCAAGAAAAATGCTGAGAAATTGAGTCAGCACCCTGATCAAACCGTGCCTGATCTCCCTCTGGGAGTTTCAGTTATGTAATCTAAAATTTTGACTTGAGTTTATTTGAATGAGGGTCTCTGTTACTTGTAACCAAAACAACCAAACTGGTATATGGAGAAATTCTGTGGCCCCAGACTCACTGCACTTTCACTGGGATATGTCACATGATTTTTACTTAGTTTGAGCCAATGTATTTCTTTTAGCTTAAATCAGTTCAAGAGTCTCTAGAGGCCGATAAGTGCTCACGTCTGCCAGGTGAGGGCTCTCTCTGCAGACAAACAGGGGGACAGACATCTTTGAAACGAACACAGAGGGGCTGCCGGACCTGTTCTTCCCAAATTCCACCTTGAAGAAGCACAATAAGCTGGCAGAGCTAAAGGACTCGGCAGAAACAGAAGCGCAAGTTCCTGGGAATTCAACAGTCTGCCCGTCAAAGGTGGTGAGGTGCGAGTGCCTTGTCGCCTGGCCAGTGCCAGGGGAGAGTGGGTGGCAGCCAAAGATGCCCCGAGGATCCCGCATCTCTGCCGTGGCCCATGGGAGGAGGGGGAGCGGGGCACGGCGGGGGCGGAGGCCTCTCAGTGGCAGAATTGCTCACAGCACTACCCGGCCCAGAAGGCCTCCCTGGCCGGCTGGTACCTGCCCCTGTGGAGCAGCCACACTGGGCCGGGGGGGCACAGTCGGTGCCGGTGGGCGCACAGCCCGAGGCACACTGGCGGCCCCCTGGCACGGCGTCGGGGAGGCCAGGCTCGGCCCAGGAGCTGGGACAGGAGGAGCTGCGGAACTCGTAGTGGCTGTGGGGACGCCAGGCCAGCTCTGGAGGAGCACAACTAATTCACCACAAGGACATCAGCTCACTGCCCCGAGCTCAAATTCTGTCCCCTGCTACCTCCCCAGCGCCCGGCGCACGGCAAGCCTCGACGAACATTTGTTGAAAGCACTCATGACTGTACTGAGGCTCTTCTCTGAAGCATTTATTTGTTCAACTTTGAGCATCTACTACACGCCAGGGACGTTCTAGGGACGGGGGACACGGCAGTGACTAAGACAGAAGTCCCCGACCTCAAGGGGCAGATGCTCTAGAGCAGAGGTTGACAAGCCACGCCCCGGGCCAAATCTGGCCCGCCACCTGTTTCTGTACAGCCTGTGATCTGAGAATAGTTTTTACATGTTTAAGTGGTTAGAAAAAAACCAGAAGAAGATTATTTTGTGAGGTGTGAAAATTATGTAAAATTCAACCGTCGGCGTCCATAAATAACGCTTTAATGTCTCCCAGCTCGTTTGTTTATGTGTTGTCTGTGGCTGCTTTTGTGTTACAACAGAAGAGGTGAGCAGCTGCATCAGGGCGCGGCCCAGAAAGCCTGAAACGTCGCTTACCGGGTCCCTTTCGGTAAAAACGTGCTGACTCTCCTCTAGAGGGGCAATGCACGGTGAACTGGTAATAAATAAGACGTAACTTCAGGTTGGGAAACTGGGCCATGTAGCTGGGTGGCCGGGCCCCAGGGGCTGCTTGGAGGGCCGTGGACGGGGAGGGCTCTCTGCAGAGGTGACAGCTGAGCTGAGTCCTGCGGGCCGGAAGGAGCCAGCCGTGTGCTGTCTGGGGAAGAGCATCGCAGGCAGGGGAACAGCAAACGCAAAGGCTCTGAGGAAGGAATGAGAGCGGTGCGGCCTCCGTGCGGAGTGAGCTAGGGAGAGGGTGCAGGGGGCGGTGGGGTGGGCAGGGAGAGGCAGCACATGAGGGTCTCCTAGGAGGAGGCCTGAGGGTCAAAGTTCATCCCAGGGACAATGGGGACCCTGGGACGGTCATAATCAGGAGTCTGATGAGATCTGACTTATACTTTTAAAGGCGTCATGCCAGGTGCTAGTGACACAATGGTGACCAAGACAGACCCCACTACTGCCTTTGGGGGTTTCACAGACCAGGGGAGAGACACGGTGGAGGAGAGATTGCAGAGGAGGCGTGTGTGTGTGTGCACGCACGTGTGTGTGCACGTGTGTGTGCACGTGTGTGCGTGTGCGCGCGCACACGCCTGTGTTTGACTCTAACTTGTCGCTCAGGCCTCGGCTCACGCGTCCCTTTCTCGGGGAAACATGCCCCGACTTCCCAGGCTGGGCCAACACCCCCTCGGGGCTTCCCACACCCCGAGCATCCCCGACAGCCCCAACCACCTGCGTTGTCACTGGCTGAGGAGAGCTCCGCCTACCCCAGCCGAGTGTGGGCCCCGCGGGGTCAGAGTCTTTCTCAGTCACTGCCAGGTCCCCAGCGCCACCCAGCGCAAGGCCAGGCGCAGAGGGACCCCTCCCCGCCACCTCCTGGCTGCGGGGCCTGGAGCCTCACCCTTGGCGTCTGTGAAACCGTCCTGTTCGCGCTAACGGGGAGAAAAGACGGCTCAGGCCTGACTCCAGCCGCCTGTGGAGTGGGGAGGATTCGAGCGCAGCTGACCCCAGGCCCTCCCCAGCACAGGCTCACTTGGGGGTCTGGGACAAGGTCTGTCAACAACAGGGCCCAGGACGCAGAGCCCTGTGGTTTGATCTGGGGGAAGCATGACGCTACCATAGTGTCTTTCCCTGACGCGAAGGTTCAAAATGCATTCGCTCTGCTGCCAGAAACTGTTAATCTGCTTGATCCTCACAACAACCCCACAAGCTAGGTACTGGGACCGTCATTCTTTCGTTGTTGCTAAAGGGAAAACTACGGCACAGAGAGGGTAAGTGATTTCTCCAAGAACACACAGCTGAAAAGTGGTAGTACTGGGATTCCAACCAAGGCAGTTTGACTTTGGGATCTGTGTTCTCAGCCTCGATGCTATACGGGTAAGAGGGAATTCCCTGCTTTAGAAAAGGAAGTAGAATAGAAAAGAATGGAAGGGAAAGTGCTTGAGCACACGTTCCTGTTTGGTGACCCCTTGTATCATGTGGATGCGTATATTGAGGCGGTGGGTGAAATCATGGCCCCCCAAAGATGCCCATGGCCTAGTCGCTGGACCCTATGACTATGTTATGTCACGCGGCAAAGGGCCTTTGCAGGAGAGATTAAGGTTATCTGGACGGGCCTGATGTCATCACATGGGCTCTTAAAAGTGGAGGGAAGCGGAAATCTCCTGGCAGAAAGAGGCGGGGGAGTTCGCAGCATGAGAGGGATTTGGCCCACGGCCGGTCCTTTGAAGATGAAGGGAGGGGCCACAAGCCAAGGAATGTGGAGGCCTCTAGAAGCCAACAACGATCCTCAGTTCACAGTCAGCAAAGAAACAGGGACCCCGGTCCTACAACCGCCGGGAACCGAATTCTGCCAACAGTCTGAATAACCGAGGAAATGATTCTCCCGCAGACCCTCCAGAAAGTAATGCGGCCCAGCCAACGCTTTGATTTTAGCCTGACAACCGCACTGGAACTGGGATTTGTGTTATTTTAAGCTGCTGAGTTTGCAGCAATTGTTACGGCAGCGACAGAAAACTGCACGATTGGGTCCCCAAACTCACGATGCTTCCTATCGCGAGTCTCCATCGAAAACGTTTGAAAGGCTGCTAAATGCTCTTGGCAAAGATCGCTTGGCAGCAGGACAAGGACAAGACAGAGTGGACATTTGTCCCTTGGGCACTGGCCAGTACCCATTGCCCGTGGTTAGCTTCATCCCAGCTTCTGCCTGGGCCATCTCCCCAGGACAGAGCCCGGGGTCGGGCAAAGCCCACTGGAGAATCATTCTGCCCTGGCCGCGGCGACTGGTTCAAGAAGGAGCCAATCAAAGCCACGGCGACACAGTGCAATTTGTGCTGGGCCTTCCGGGACCAATGGGGCTCTCTTTCCTGCCGGGCCCAAACCCCAGTGGCTGCAAGGTCTGGAGCCACTGTGGCCAGGGCGAGCCCGTCTGGATGGGGAGCCAATCTGGTGGGAAGCGTGACCCAGGTCTGAGTGCCTGACTGGGCCAGGCCAGAAGTAGCTGCTCTGAGATCATGAATTATGCAAGCCAACAGGATGGGCTGACGCGGTTTTCTGTGACTGGCAAGCAGCGGAGTGGCGGCTGGCGCAGAGAGGAAGGCAGCGCGTGGGGCGAGGATCGGGACAGGTGCTGCTCTCCGCAGTCCGCCAGCGCTCCCCAGGGCGGCATGAGGGGGCCATGCTGGGCACAGCTACCAGCACCTCACTCCAGATCTGCCGCCAGCCCCTTGTGGCACAGAGGTCGCGGACACAGTTCTGCACGTGGACTTGGGCCTCAGCCGGCTCATTGCGGGCACCCGGCAGGCCACAGAAGGCCAGTGACTGGTACCGGCCCTCCCCGTCGTGTGGGCACAGAGGGGCAGGGCCCGTGGTGGAGCGGCTGGCTGGGAGCCCAGGCTGGGGACGTGAGCCCAGTGAGGCTCCCCCAGCCCCACCTGCATCCCTCGCAGACCCCCAGGGTGAGGCCGTGTCCCCTCAGTCCCCAGGTGTAAGGTCAGGTCCCCCGGGGGACTGCGGGGTGGGGCCCTCCCTGCTTGCTGGCAGAGCCCTGTCCCCTCCGATCTCCTCATTCCAAGTCACTTGGTTCTTCAGGACAGAGGGGAGGGGTGTCAACTGGAGGCTGGGGCCCACCCACTGCGGCCCACCCCCTTCCAGAGCCCCCATCCCCACTCACCTACCAGCATCCCCATGGTGGCCCCACGCTCTGGGCAGCCAGATTGGCTTATCCCAGGGCTGAGGTGGGAGCCCGGGAGGGGCCTGAGCTCAGCTCCACCAGCGGTTGTTCAAGCATCGGCCAGCCATGCCGTCTGGCTGGGGCTGGGCCAGCCTGGGGACAGCAGGTGGGGCAAGGAGGGAGAGAGGAGTTGGATGTCTTCCCTGGCTTTTCCAGCGGGCGGGGTTGCCGCAGGCACCCAGGGCCCCGAGGAGCCCCCCACCCCGTGAGCAGGGCCGTGCAGAGTCAAGCCGCCCACAGGTGGAGAAGCTCAGACTCCGCTCCGTGGAAGGGCAGCTGCGGCTGCGTAGCGGGAGATGCAGAGACCCTCTCCCCCTGCCCTGCCTCTCCTGGCGGGTTAAAGACCAACTCACAGCACCTGGGGGGCTGAGTGAGCCCGTGCAAAGCGGCCAAGGAGCGCGGCTGGGAGATTCGCGGGACACAGGCCGGCCCAGGGGCTTAGGGCCGGACGTCTGCAGAGAATGGCGGGGCTATGGCAGACAAACGCAGAGTCGGGCACTTGGGCGTGTTACTGGGGGACAGTGGCAGAAGGGGGGATCCCCTGGAGGCGTGCACGGGTGGAGGTGGATGAGGAACAAACGGGCGAGGGGTGCAGCCCTGCGCACCCACGGAGAGCCACGGGGCTGTCCTAACAGGGGAGGTCCGGAGCTAGGCAGTGGGGGCTCCGTCTTCAAAGAGGGTGTCCCGAACCCAAGCCAGCCCTTCACGTGGTCAAACCGGGTGGGACGGAGGGGTGCCTGGGCCAGACCTGACTTGCCGGCTCCCTCCTGCGCCACCACGGCTGAGCAGGGCCCGTCACCACCCCAGGGATCTTTGAGTTAAGGCCTCTTTGTCCCCAGGACACTCTCAGCCCCTGGAGATGCTTGCTTCCCCGGGAGCCCAGGGGACCTCCCAGGGAGGCCGTGTCCACGCCCGGTCCGCAGGGAGGGGCTGGGAGCGGGGGCTCAGCACCCTCTGCCAAGACGTTCTGGTCACGGGTCCCAGTCCCAGCTTTGCCCCGAACCATCTGCACCTGGGACAGACTCCCCAGCCCCCTCCTCCCGGCTTGTCTGAGGCTTAAATGAGAGTCTCCCAACGTGTGGCGCATGGGCCACCAGCGAGGAGATCCCAGGCGAGTACAGGAGGGCAATGAAGACGCATTTATTATTATTTTGCCGGTATTTGTTTATTTAATATTTTTCATTTATATTGAAAAACATATATATCTACCACTACCATGTGAAACCCACAGTTTCATGAATATTACTGTTAAAGTCAAGGCTAAGTTGAAAAAAAAAGAGAAGGGGAAAGAGATGATTTAAATAAAACAACACAAATAGTACCAGGGGTATTTGTTCTTGGTCTGTTTCCCCCTAAGCTCCATAAGGGCAGAGATTCTGGTCTGTTTTGTTCCCTGCTCTGTCCCCAGGACCTAGAACAGTGCCTGGCACATAATAGGTGCTTAATAAATATTAGTTGAATGAATGAATGCGTAGCAAAAATTAAGACAGCCACCTTCAAATGTCTGAATTTATGGGACTACCGAAGGGACGTATGCAAAGCTCTCAGTATAGTGCCCGGCACATAGGAAGTGCTCAAAAAATACTCATGGATGTATTTATTAATACAAAAAATATTATTTAGAAGTGCAACGAAGAGGCACTGTGGCCAAATGCTGACCGGCTGTTTTTAAATCAGGATTTGCCCAAAGCTCTGAATGTGTACTAAAAAGTTATTACTGTCACGATTTTATCAGCCACAATCTCAGCAGGCAAATCTTTCAGGTTGAACACTTTAGCGAGGGGTCGTTTCTCTGCTTTGTCGGTGGCCAACTTGCTCCTACAGTCTATAAGCTCCCATGTCGGTTTTTAGACATGGCCCTTAACTTTTTTGACCTGCCTCTCACCAAGGGGTGGGGTCTGTCTCCTCCCGTAGAGTCCGGGCAGGTTTGTGACTGCTTCAGCCAACAAAGCAGAGCAGAAACGAGGCCGGGATGTAAAAGGCAACGTCCGCTGGAATGCTCACTCTGGAGCCCTGGGCCAGCGCATGAGAAGTCCAAATGTCCTGAGGCAGCCATGCTGGGAGGAAGCCCAAGTCAGCTGGACGATGAGTCAGGAGTCCCATCTCAGCCCACCAGACACCAGACTCGTGAGCAAGAAACCTCCTTATTCCATTCCCTGTTCATCAACAGTATTTTCTAGCTCAGGACCTGGACATCGAGGAGTAGAGACAAGCTGTCCCTGCTGTTCCATAATAGAGTAGAATAATAGAATGCTGTCACTTTACCCCACGATGTTTGGGGTGGTTTGTTAGGCAGCAATAGAGCCAGAACAGCTGCTCATTTTATAACTGCAGTATTGAAATAGAACTACTTTTTATGCAGAAGCTAAAATCCATCTCCCTACTTATCCCGCTCTTTGAAAGTTCACGATGATGATTTCTGAATGTAAAACGAGCAGCCTTCACAAGCACGGTGAATCACGGCGGCGATTGCACGTGTGGAATAACTACCGTGGAACAGTAACTGTGCATTCCTCCTGCAGCTCGGCTGGGAGAATGCCAACTCGCAAACCACACGCGGAGCTTTCCATTCCAGGTTACACCCGGAAGGCTTTTCTGTATCCGAAAGGGAATATTCAGACATAACTGCTACACGGGAACGCAAACCCTTGTTTGTGTTGCTGGTGGGGTTGCTCTAGTTCCATAAAGTAGATCGAGCACTTCCGACTCGGAGAAGCAGCGCCAGGGCGTGGAGGGAAGCGTTTTAATCTTCAGCCTGTCTGCAGACCTCGCCCCTGGGGGAAGCTCAAAGCAACCCTGCGATCGTTATTATTTTTTAATATCTCCCTGGCTCCTTGGGGTGAGTGCAAGGTTGGTGGGAGCTGGAAGAAAAACTGAAGCTCGCTGACCCCGCCATGCAAAGGACACTGGTGAATGGTTGTTGAGTGAATCATAATCTCCCCACCCCCTCCCTGCCAGGGCGAACTGTGTCCCCTCCGACCTTCCAGGACATGGTCACATCTGTTCAGAACCCCCAGGGTGGACTATGCCCTCTCAGAGTCCCCAAGCTTCATAAAACGTACGCACATTATGACATTTCTCAGCTAACAATTACAGAGGGAAATTTACAGTCGCCCTCTGTGACTCAATACGTTTCTCACAGAGCAACGTGGGGGTCACATCTCGAATCACACCCCAAGTTCCTCAGGCAGGACATCGCAGCCACACGCAGGGGTGTGGGGACACCGCGCGAAGGCTCCGCAGGTGAGACGTGGACTGGGGGCTCCTGACCGACCAGGCAATGGTGGGGCTCAACCGGGCTAAGGGTTCGGGGATCAGGGACGGACGCGCCGGCATTTTCCAAATGCGTAGTTTGTTACTTATTCAAAGGCGCTTTCCTGGGTCTGTTTGCACTTTAGGAAATTGCTTGGGAGCTTGCGGTTGATGGTTGTCACGTTGTAATTGTTATCATTTAAAATCAAGGTGAACAGGCACCGGTGAGCATTCTTTTCCCATAGAACAGCTGGTTTTCAGCAACAGGAGGCCAACACTGGGCAGGAAACGCCTCAGTTTCTCAATGTAGGGACAGTAGCGCCCCCTGGTGGCCATTGGGGCTGCAGTGAAGATCTGCAGATGCTCTAGGGAAGGGGAGGGTGGGGGTGTCTCCCTCCTTAGAGGCTGGGACCCTCCCACACCCAGGCTGTGCTCACAGGGCCCAGCGTCTCCATCCTATAGGGCCCTGTTTTCTGTGCTGGCCCAGGGTAAATCTCTCTTTTGCTCCCTGGGCATCTATTGTCATTTTTTCTGAAAATAGCACCCCATTTTCCTTTGGGGAATCTCCCACATGCAGGTCACACAGTTCTCGAAGACCTAGCCTCCCCGCCCCCACCTCATGCATCAGGTGCACAGTGATTGGATGAGGGATGAGCACAAGACCCAAATCTGTCCAATGGGAGCCTGGCCTGGGACTTTTTTTTTTTTTTGCCAGAGCTATTGGGAAAGAAGCAGCCCCTTTCCACTGGGGCTAAGCTGGTCCATGGCATGTACGCCTGGAGTTTGTGTGATTGGGGCATCTCTGTCTCTGGCTGTAGGGGAAGCTGCTTGGAAATGAAGCTGACACAGAGTAAAGTGGATTTGAGAAAGCAGCTAGATCCAGCCATACCTGAAGCCAGTATGCTCCAGGGCATTTGCAGTTAAGTGAACCAGTTAAAATCTTCTCTCTAAGGTCAATGGGAATTGGGGAATCATACTCCCTACCTGATTTGTTCCAGGCCCTAATTCCTCCCTTCCTTCCCCTCCCCAAAAATGTCCTCATTGCTGCTTACATTTGCAAGTTCAGAGGCCACATTAATCAAAACCATCTTTATTATTTAAAGAGCATCCCGTCACCAGGGGCACCTAGATGGGAGTCCCCAGATGGCAGAATAATATTTACATGGGGGTTGGGACAGAGGCTCGGGTGGTCTCGGGGCTGAGTGGGCCCGCCACTGTGGAAGAGAGGGCCCTGGAGGCAGGGCATCCTTGGGCCTGTGGGCTGGGCCCAAGAAGAAAAATGTTCCATCCTAGGCCCAGTGTGGATCCCACCATGTGGGCCTGGCGCCACCTAGATCAACTCGGACCCTGGAGGCGAACGCATCGAGGAGAAGCCACGGGTCAGAGCTGGGTCACCATGCCGCTGGCCTCGGAGTGAGTCTGGGGAAAGACAACTGGGGGCTTCCGAGGTCTGAGAGGCCCCCCCCCGAAGTCCCACAACTTCCCTCCCCTCCCCGGAAGCCCTCTGAAGTCCGTCTGTTCCCCGGGGGCCTCTTCTAGGCCTGAGCTTGGGTTTCCTGAAAATTCTCTGCCTCCCTCTTCCCCCATCAATGTCCCAAACATCCCCACCCCTGGCTCCCATCCAGGCCCAACTTTCACCTTTATGACCTGGAAGATCCACTCCCGGAAGTCACTGACTTTGGTGTAGACACCTGGCTTCTGGGCCAGGGCACAGCCGGTGCCCCAGCTCACAATGCCGCACAGCCGCCAACGCGACGTCCGAGAGATGCTGTCCTCACACACGAAGGGACCACCACTGTCACCCTGGAAGGGGAAGGGGAGGCCTGGCTGGAGGCCAAGACGGGTGGCCAGGAAGCCCTCTCGGATGGCCATGGGGCCCCAGAGCCGTCGAGCCCTGAGAGAGGGAGCCCGGCCTCCCGTTGTCCTGTGTCTCCGTCCCCGAGCTGGCAGGGGCCAGGGCTGCCCCCATGCAGTCCCTACCTGGCAGGCATCAATGCCACCCTCAGGGTAGCCGGCACAGAACATCTTGGGCTTGATCTGGTTCCCATAGAAGTCAGGGCCATTGCAGACGTCATTGCTGATTATGGGGACTCGGGCCTCCTGGAGCACCCCAGCCTGTTGGCCTGGGGGTGTGCGGGCAAGGCTGGCAGAGCTGGGGAGCGTGCACACCCCCCTGCCCTCCTGGTGCCCACCCCACGCCCCTTGGTGTCCCTACACCCCGGGGCCGAGAGTCACTTGGCCGGCCGCACCGCCCTTCCCAGCCCAGCTCAGAGTCTCCCAGACGGGGCATCACGGCAGAGGACTGGACTCACCGTAGTACTGCGTGTTGCCCCAGCCCGTCACGGTGCAGACCTTGCCATCCACCAGGGCCTGGCCGGCAGCCGGGAGGCACACGGGCTGGATGTATTCTGCGAGAGAGACCGCGCTGGTCTAGCCCCTGCTGGCCAGCCCCACCTGGCACAGACCTCTGCCAGCGGCCTCTGGTGCCCCTGCGTTGTGGTGCCCTTGTGCAGTGCGCAACCCACGCAAGCAGTCCTGGCAGCCCTGACTACTGCCAGCTGGTGACTTCACCTGCTGGAGTCTCAGAGCTCTCAACTGTAGAATGAAACAATAATCGTTTCTCCCCAGAGGTTGTACTGAGAAATTGGTGAATTGTTGAGTAGCATGCCTGGCACGTAAGAGCGTTCATATACCCGGTGATAATAATAACAAAAACAGTAGAGTAACCTCTCTAAGCCCTTATATTAACCCTTTCAATTGTCTCAATAACCCTAGGAAGTCATTTTGCAGATAAGGGAAACTGAGGCACGGTGCGGTGAAGCCACGTGCCCAAAATCACACAGTTGGCAGGTACTCAGATCTGACTCCAAAGCCCATGCCCCCGATGCCCTTACCCCTCAGCCGTGGGCCTCAAACCCCAGCCACTCCTGCCCATCCCCCATGTCCCCAAAGACACGTCCTTACTTCAATATTCTTAACTCCGCCACCCTTTTCACTAAGGAGATAGGTTTTATTTGAAAGAAAAACACCTATCACTGCCTTCAGTGGGAAGCCAGTACCACCGATCAGGAAAAAGAAAATAAACATAAAAATAAACACAGTGCAAACCCCCACATGGCCCCGAATTCTCTGGGCACAGCCCGCATGTCAGGAGCACAGATGCCAGCGCCAGCCGGTCTGGGCACACGCCTTTGCCACTTGCCAGCTGTGGGAATCGGGCGTTATTTCCCTTCTTGGTGTTGGGGCCTTTCCCCATGTGGGAAAACAGGATCTCAACAGAGCTCGGCCGCGCCGGGGTGGGCCGGGCGGCTGTGAGAACTGAACGAGTTTGCACGCGGGACGCTTGGTTCGGCGCCGCACACGGGAGGCAGCGCGCGGGTGCGGCGTTCATCATCATTACCGCTGTGATGTTGTTTTATTGCATTACGTACGTTCATCATCATCGCTGTTATTAATTTATCACCGCCATCACAACCATTATCATAGTCGTGATTGTTATTATTACACTATGGCCTGCTCTGCTGGAGAGCTGCTGGCACCCAAGTGAGTTTTTCTCAGTGAGACCAAGAAATGCTCAGGGACCGCAGAGGGAATAACTCCCAGCTTACTTTCTAACTGACTCATTCATATAATTTTACATTTTCTCATTGCATTTCATCGAATTACTTTTTTGATGACAGCTCTATGGAGCTACAGTTCACATACCGTACAAGTCACCCACGAGCCAACGCTTTTCCTACGTTCAGATACGTGCAACCCTCTCTGCGATCGACGCAGAGCACCTCAGCACCCCCGAAAGAAGCCTTATATCCTTTCCCAGTCACCTCTCAATCTCCCCATCCCCATCCCCAGGCAACCCCCAGCCCACCTGCCACCCTGCCCGCCTTTCGCCTGCTGTCTGTTTCTGTGAGTTTGCCTAGTCTGGACATCTCAGGCCAGTGGAATCACACAGTATGTGGTCTTTGGGGTCTGGGTTCTCCCGCTTAGTATAACGTTTCCAAGGCTCATCCAGGCTGCGGCATCAATCAGCACTTCGTTCTTTTTAAGGTCGATATTATTCTAGTGTACGGCTATACCACACTTCCCTTATCCATTTGTCAGATGGTGCACACTTGGGTTGTGTATACACTTGGCTTGTTTCATTTCTCTCGGGTGTACACCCTAGGAGTGGAATCGTTGGGTTAAGCACTAACTTTATGCTGAACTTTTTCAGGAAATGCCAGACGGTTTCCCAAGGTGGCTGCACCAGTCACTCACAGCTAAGCCCAGTCTGTGCTCCTGGAGGTCACGCCCTACCACCCGAATCGTAAGTCTATTCTCCCAGGCCCCCTGGCTCCCTCCTCCGTCCTCCTGGCCTCAAGTCCCCAAGCCAAGGCCCAGCTCCCACCCTTACCTGTGAAGGGCAGAGGGCTGGACAGGTGGACCAGGGCGATGTCGTTGCTGTTCTCCTCGCTGTTGGGGTCTCGAAAGGGAAGGTAGCCCCCGTGGTAGACCACGGCTTGCACGGCCAGCTGCAGGCCGTGGGGAGAGTCCTGGGCCACAGCCCCAGCGAACACTCGCCAGCGGGACAGGACCCGGTTCCGCCTGCCGGGAAGAGCAGGGAGGGGTGGCGGCCTGCCCGGGCGCAGCTGCCCCGCCTCTCTGCTCCCCTGGCCCCCCACACTGGCGCAGGGAGGAAGGGACTCACTCGGGGAAACAGTGGGCAGCCGTCAGCACCCAGTCTCCGGACAGCAGGGACCCCCCGCACAGGTGCGCCCCGTCGTAGCGAAGGCTGACCTGCCACGGCCACCTGCCCAGGCTGCTGTCCTGGCCTCCCACGATGCGGTCCACGGGCAGCTTCCTGCGGCCGCAGTCTGTGGGAGACGGGGCGGTCGGGCCGGTGGAAGGAGCCTGGCGCCCCGGCCCCCAGAGCCCGGGACTGGCCCTGCCCTGGGGAGGGTCTCAGGGGACGCAGCCCCCAGAGCGTCTAAGGGGGGTGCTGAGTTTCAGGGTCTCACCTTGGCAGACGGTAGCCAAGAAACGGCCCCTGGGACAGTCACTGAGAGAGACAAAATACAGAAACCAATCAAGACGGACAAAAGGAAAACGAGCAGAGCGGGTGCGGGGTGCCCTGGGAGCAGCGGGGGCCGGGGCGTCGCCCCCACCCGCCCGCTGCCGTCCTCACCACACGGAGATGACCTCCAGCAGCCTCTGGGCATGGGGCAGCCTCCCCTCGTCCACGCAGAAGAAGCCCGACGTGCCGTTGGCGCCCACCGTCCTCACGTCCAGCTCGGAGTGGGCCAGTGCCCTGGGCAGGGCAGGGGTCAGGCCTGCTCCCCCCGCCCCTCCCGGCCCCCACCCCTCCGGGGGGCCTCAGTACCTGAGGAAGCCCATCTCCTCACAGCTGAGCCCGGCCACCCTGGCGTTGGAGCGCGAGGAGCACAGCAGCCGCCACGTCCCTTCTGTCTGGTCAAACACCGTGAGCCTCGCGTCCACGGGGCTGACCTGCACTGCAGGGCAACAGGGCCGGGGCGCCTGGGTCCCACAGCCGGGCTCCCGACGCGCCCCCAGCCCGGGCTCCTCCCCGCCCGTCCTGCAGCCACGTGGTTTTAGCCCTGACCCCAGCGGGGCCCGTCAGGGCACCCCACCCCCACAGCTGTGACTGCAGCTGGGACCGAGCGAGACTCGAGACTCGAGACTCGATGGCTCAAGTCAGACCAATGAGCTGCAGCCCTGGGACTTTGGCCCGCGGGAAACCAGGAGCAATCCTCATCCTGCCAGGGTTCCTAAGCTGGCTGCTCCCGTCTGGGGCTGGCTGGGGGGCAGTGTGTGCTGGGAACTGATGTTCCCTGAAGTCCCCCGTCTGCTGCCAACAGGAAGTCAGCAGAACCCTGTTAACGCTGGCCCTCGGGGTGCTTATTTAGCTTTACCCAAAGTGCCAGCTCTACTTTAGGCAATGCACAAATTGCCACAGCAATGCACAAGTCGGACAAAACCCCTGCCCCGGTGATGCCCAAGGCCCAGCAGGTGAGACGGAGTAGCGGATGGGACAGACGAATAAAGTAGTTCGTGTGTCACAAGGACAGAAGGGGCCGTGGGGACACATAAAACTCAAGAGAGGGAGGGGAGCCGTTGTGGGGGGGTGAGGCTGCACTTTTCAATGTGTGGGCCGGGCTGGGAAGGGGGCGGGTGGACAGGGCGCTGGAGGAGGTGAGAAGGAGTCCTGCAGATACCGAGGGGACAGCAAAGTAGGCCAAGGGAGAGCCCGTGCAAAGGCCCCGGGGCTGGAGTCCAGAGCGGAGGAAGCGAGGGGAAGAGAAGGGCCGAGAGGTGGGAAATGGATCAACGTTAGGCTTCTCTGTTGCCTGGAGCCAGGTGAAGCCCAGGCGGGGCTCCCCCACCTGACCCAGTGTTCCCAGGCCCCCGCTGGCTGCAGGTGGGGACCAGACCGCGGGAGCAGGGACAGAGCAGGAGACCAGGGAGGAGGCTGCTGGCATGCCCAGGCTGGAGGGGACGGAGGCCGGGCCAGGGTGGGGGCGGTGGAGGGGAGAAGGGCTGAGATTCTGGAGACGGGATTTGCCGAGAGACTGGACTCATGCGTGAATGTCGAGGAAAGTGAGGGTTCGGGGACAACCCGAGGTGTCTGGCCTGAACCGCTAGGATGGAGCTGACACTGGCAGAGATGGGGACGGTGGGGAGGGGCAGGTCTGGGGAAAGATCAGCTGTAAAACTCTTTGTCCTTTTCTCACGAGCCTCCTGTGTGGTTCTGAGAGCACGTTCTGGGAAAACGAGTCAGCCGAAAACCTGCTTTTCCGTCCTCTTAGGAGGAAACCGGTGGGGCCGCGCCCCAGCCGAGAGGTCTGGACAAGGAGAGGCGGGGCTTCCAAGGAGAGCCCTGGGCTGCTGAGGACCTACTGTGTGCCCAGGGCGAGGCTACATGCTCTCCCTGCCCCACTGCCAACCGAGCCCTCACCGCACCCCCGAGGGGTCACAAAGATCACCCCCATTTTCCAGACGTGGAAACCGAAGCTTGGACGGGGGGGTGACGTGCCCAACATCACCAAGTGCGTGAGAGGCAGAAAGAGGGGATTTGAAATCAGGCCTAGTGACTCCAAACCCCCAGCTTTCAACGTCGTCCTAGACAGCCCCTCGCGTGCCCCCCGCCCCCCCCAGGCTTAAACAACAGCAAAGTAATAATAACACTGGCTCCGTTTACTGGGGGAGGTCACTGGGCCAGCCCCATGTTAGGTGTCACATCTGGGTGGTTCCTTGAATCCCACAACCATCCCAGGAGATAGCGACCATTTCTATGCCCATCTTACAGATGGGGAAACTGAGGCTCAAGGGCATACAGCTAACATACAGGAATCGAACACAGACCTCCATATTCCTGCTCCGTCTGTGGGTCTCGCAGCAACCCTTGCCTGTCCCCACCCCAAAAGCACTCATCCACGACCAGGACCGAGAAGCCACCCGGCTGCCTCAGTGGGAGCAGGGGACGCCTGGCACCCCTGCTGGGTGGTGCCCACCACCCCCTGAGTTCCAAGACCAAGACTTGGGGTTTGACATACCAGCTGAGGCAGGGGGGTGGATTTTTATTTTAAAATGACTCCTAACTGCTTCAGAAATGTGATTTCCAGACAGTGTGAGGTTTTCGGGGGGCGAAAAATGGCACTCTATGGAAGTGTGTTGGGGGAGTCGGGGGGGCAGCAAATGCCCCTTCCAGCTATTTTTAACGCCACATTCTGTGCCACTGTTCCTCACTTTTAAAGCCTTTATTCATGTTTCTATTATTTTAAGCAACACAAAAAGCATGTTCTGGGCCACCTCATGTGCTCCCCAAATTGTCTGATATATTTAGAGATGTGAAAATCTCAGAAAAACGAGGTAGCAATACAGTTTCGGAGTTGTTTTTGTTTGTTTGTTTGTTTCCTAATTTCCCCAATATTTTTGAAAAACCCTGAGTACAAGGAAAGGGTGCCAGCCAGAGCCGGGTCTGACTCGTGACCCACTTACACTCCAGATGAAGGCTCAGGTCGAGCTAGTCCTTCTTGGGGACTTGTCTTTCGGCTCATTCGTTAAGCAAAGATTTCCTGAGCACCTACTTTGTGCCAGGCACTGTCTGACAGTAAACAAAGTATCCCTGCCCCCTGGGAAGGTTCAAGCCTGAAGGGTGAGAAACCGAAGCTCGCGTTTATGGTGTGGCTAAGAGCCAAGCCCTGCGGGGATAAGCATCTCCTCAGATGAATTGTCACCTGAACCTTCTCACCCCATCTCACAGATGAGGAAACTGAGGATCAGAGAGGCCCACAGCTCAGAAGTGACAGTCTAGAACCGAAACCTGCTTCTAGGTGTGAGCTGGAAAGAAGCAGGTGAGCTAAGGCTTCCTGCAAAGGGGTCGTTTGAGGGAGAGGCAGCCCAGGGACTGGAGCCCAGGCGGTGTGGGAAGCAAGTGTGAGGTGGGGGTGAGGAGGGGCCCCCACACCGGGAGGCTTGGAGCCTGCGAGGTGTTGGGATTTTACCTGCTCACACGGGAGCCACTGTGGGTGGCTTTTGGCAGGGGCGTGGTCCCTTTTCTCTGCCACTTGTCTCACGTGTGGTCTTGGGCAAGTGAGTTCACTTCCCTGGGCCTCAGTTTCCCCATGTGCAAAATGCCAGGATGGTAACAGCCCCAACCGCTCGGGCCTGCTGGTAAACGCTGCAGCAATCACTTCGCCTGTTTCTTGGCAAACTCAAACCCCAGCGCTGCCACTTACGAGCTCTGTGACCTGGGTCAAGTCGCTTGGCCTTTCTGTGCCTCGGTTTCCCCATATGGAAATGGGTTGTTGTGAAGAGTTAATGACTTGATACCATAAAGTCCTGGCACGTGGAAATGCTCTCGAGCGTGGGCGGGGATGGTCAATGTTGACGTTGGCTTTTTATGCCTGGATCTTCATTTCTTTTAGCACGAGCCGAATCCTTTACGGAATCAGATGAGGCTCGTTGCGGGTGTGAAAAATCCATCCCACCACCCAACTCCCCGCTTCTTCCTGCCGCCCGGCATCATGGAACGGCAGCTTGGAGTTGGCACTGGGGAAGATTCATTCATTCATCCCACAATTATTAATAGTTTCTTCATCTATTCATTCGTGCATCCATGCATTCCGCACGCCTGCAGAGACGTCTAAAATGGACACGTCGAAGAGCTATTCCCGGCCCCATCATTCACCAGCTGTGTGAACTCCCTGGTCCTCACTTTCCACATCTGTAAAATGGGGCCGATAATAGCAACTACCTCCTGGGAGAGCTAGAAAGGTCCACTGAATTCATACCATGCCTCTCAAACGTGTTTTGACCATATCCCACAGCACGAAATATATATATATATATTTTTTTTTTTGAGACAGAGTCTCACTCTTTTGCCCGGGCTAGAGTGAGTGCCGTGGCATCAGCCTAGCTCACAGCAACCTCAGACTCCTGGGCTCAAGCGATCCTCCTGCCTCAGCCTCCCGAGTAGCTGGGACTACAGGCATGCGCCACCATGCCCGGCTAATTCTTTTTCTATATATTTTAGTTGGCCAATTAATTTCTTTCTATTTTTAGTAGAGATGGGGTCTCGCTCTTGCTCAGGCTGGTTTTGAACTCCTGAGCTCAAACAATCCGCCCGCCTCGGCCTCCCAGAGTGCTAGGATTACCGGCGTGAGCCACCGCGCCCGGCCACGAAATATATTTTTACATTATGATGTAGCCCGCAGAAGCCCTGTCGTCTGGGGCAAACCACCACACTGCTCTGAGCCTCAGTTTCCCCATCTGTAAAATGAGAGCAACAGCCCCACCCTCTCACGGCTGCTGCAAGGAGGCAGTGGGGTTGCGTGGATATGAACACACAAAACCAAAACAAAAGATTAACAAAACCTTTTTTTTCCTGAGAGAGATGCACCCTGATATTTTCATATTTTCTATTCCGTACTTTTAAAAAATGTGGTTTTTCCAGCTCAGTGATTTAATTTCCCGATGCACTAGTGGGTTCTACATCTGGAGTCTGGAAAACACTGGGTCAGACACGGGAGGTGTTTAGTGCCTGGCACACACAGGCCCTCAGCACAAACGCGCTATTATCATTAGCACGTCTGCGCATCCGCACATGCACGCAAAAAATAACTTCTGTCGCGCTCCCTCCAGACGCAGGCCTGCCCTGGGGCGCCCCGAGGGTCCGGCTGCTCGCTCACCTGGATACAGCGGCTCCTGGTCGCTCCTGAGGAGAACAGTCGCTGCAGAGAAGGCAGAGGTGAGGGCGGGCTGGAGGCTGCAGGGCCCAGGGCGGGTCAGAGGCACGGGGATCACTCTCACCAATGGCCCAGGACGCCGCCCCGATGCCCATCAGGAGCAGCAGGGTCCCCACAGTGAGAGCGGCCACCTTGGGTCCGGAGCAGCATGGCACGGTCCGGCCACCTGCAACAGACACCATGCTGGGGCCACAGCCAGGCCCCTCCTCATCGCGGCAGGGTCTGGGCGCCGGGCCCGCTCTGCCCTGCCCCCCGAGGCTGACGGATTCCGCCTGAGCAGGCGGCCCCCTGCACCCCGTTTCCCGGGGCAGCGGCTGGCTGGGCCCTGCCGCCCCTGCTGCCTGAACAAGCAGGTGTCTGACTCCCCAGGGGTTCCAGCTGGGAAGGGGGCACGGCTGGGCCAGCTGCCACCCTCCCGGCCTCCCTTCCAGCACTTTCCTGGCACTTATGGGATTTCTCCTCCCCAGCGACGCTGCGCTTTTATGTTTCCGTCATTGCTTTGTGCCGTCGTTTCTTGGGCCTCTCACTCCTGCCAACTTTCCCAGATGTTCTTGGAGCCTCTTGGGGACTGTGACCCCTGACCTTTCCTCACTGCCGCCTTTCTTCCTGCTGTTCTAGATGCTTTGCCCTGGTACCCCCCGAGCCAGACCCCCCTCACAGGACGCAGCTCCCAGCCAATCCGCCCCTGGAGGTGGAGAATCCAAATTTGCCAGCCTCGCTTAAAATACTGGCCTCACCCCTTCCTAGCGGGGACCTTGGGCAGGCAGCATCGTTTCTTTGAGCCTCAGTGTCCTCGTCTATTAAATGGGCATCTACCTAGTACCCACTCCTGCAAATAACACTTTAAAGTTCTTTTAAATAATAATAATAGCCAAACTGAGCTCATTAACTCATTCAGTCCTTGTCTCAACCCCACATGATGATCCTCACGCTTCAGGGAGCTCAGAGGGCTGGAGTCACCTGCCCACAGTGACTCAACCTGGACCAGGAAGGGTCCCGAACCCTGGGCAGGTGTGGTGCCGGGTCCCAAGCCTATGGCCACAAAGCCACACTACCGCTCACCCAGTGGGAGTGCCTGGCACAGGGCAGGTTCTGAAAATGCTGTGTGGTCCTGGGCAACTGCCTACACCTCCCTGAGCCTCATTTTTTCCATCGGTAAAATGGGACTTTACTTGCTTACCATCCTACTGAGCACCCACTGTGTGCCTGGCCCGTTCCAGGCTCTGGGAACGCACCCCAAACAAGACAGATGAGGTTATGGCTCAAAGGGGGTTCGCGCCTGTAGACGGGGAGTTGGGGAAATCAACGCGTAAACAAGTGAATGAACCGGATAGTTTCCAGATTGCAGCAAAGGCAGTGAAGACAGCAATGCAGGCTGTAGGCGCAGATGGGCCACTAAAGGGGGAGCAGGGAGGCCTCCCCAGGAAGAGACTTCTGAGCTAAGATCTGGAAGGCGAGGTGCCAGCCACGCGAAGACCTCAGGGAAGAGCATTGTGGGCAGAGGGAACAGCACAGGCAAAGGCCTTGCGGCAGGAATAAGCACGATGCGCGTGATCTGAGAGGGCTGGAGAGGCCACGGAGGTGGCCAGACAGCACGGGCTTGAGGAAGGCGGCGGAACCAAGGCTGGGCCTGCTAAGGAGGACTGGTGGCCCAGGGAGGAGAGGGACTTTACCCCAGTGCAACAGAGGTCCTGGCCCCTTGGCCGGGATTGCGGGAGGACCAACAGGCAGGGCTGCTAAAAGCCTTCAGCTGGGCCTGGCTCGGGCTCAACTGCCCTTGGCGTCTGCAGAACAGGCCCAGGGCTGCCCCCTGCACCCGTGGCGGTATGGCTGGCGGGCACAGCGCCAGGCCGGCACCCGGATCAGAGCAGGGGGCAGTCCCGGACCTTCTTGGGACGGGCACTGTCTGAGTGTCTTAAGAAGTTGAGAGCTCAGTGGCTCCTATCAAGGCATGAGGGCAAACTCCCTTCCCCCAGAGAGGCCCCGGGGGGCCGGGCCAATCCAGCCCCTGCTGGTTGAGCCCTGCCTGTCCTGAGAGGGACATGCCAGCCCCCCAACTCTGCCCACCCACCCTCCTGGTTCCAGCGGGAGGTCTTAGCTCCCTGTAGCTATCAGGCTGGTCCTGATTTCTTTGTTTTCAGAGGCGCCTGCCAGGGCTCTCAGCCACGCAGAATCCGGCCTACAGGTCCCGGCAGGTTTGGTGGGACAGGAAGCAGTGCCACCCTGTGTCTCCTCGGCTGAGAGGAAGAACCTCCTTCCACGATTTCTAGTTCAGAGAACTTCAGGCGCCTCTAAAACAGGTGCCTCTGGTGGGACAGGAAGCGTCCTCACTCTGGTCCCCCAGTGTGGGACGCATCCACCCTGTGTGTCTTTGCTGGGACAGGAAGTGTCCTCATTCTCGGTGAGAGGTGGCATCGGCAACCCCATGATCCCCTGGAGGCGACAGGGGCTTTTGCTCGGTAAGTCCCCACTCCTCCCTGAGACTCTGCCCCCTGCTTCTCCGGCACCCCCAGATGCCCCACATCGTCTCACAGGACAGTTCTGTCCCCACTGTTCAGTCGCAAAGCCCTCAGAGGTGACACCTTTGGAGTCTTACGTGACTCCAACTTCCTTAACGAAACGCTCTCCTCTTTGGACTTCCGGGACACCGTGCACACCCGATCTTCCTTCTGCTTCTCTGACAGCGCTGTATCCGCGACCCTCTACCTCCTCCCTGAAATCTGAGTTCCTCGGGTGGGCCGCAGCCCCCGCTCCTCCCCAGTCCGTCCCACCCGCCGCTGTGGCTCGTTTCTCCTCTGTGTCCCCAGCCCTGGACTCTCCTCTAAGTCCCGGATCAGGGGTCCTGCAGCCTCTTGGAACCGCACCCACCAGGTCCCGGAATGGCCTCGACGTCCCCCTGGACGTGTTCTTCCTCCCAGGCCCCGTGTCAGAGGCCCCCATCTCCAGGACTGTCCCTTGTCTGCAGGACACTTCTCCCCCGTCCCCTCCAACAGCTTCCAGGCCCACAGCCCCTCGGGCCTCCTGACTGACTCCCATTCCCGCCCTTCCACAGCCCGGCCTCGGCGCAGCCTCCCGCTCTGTGCACCCTGGACCAGAAGCCTGGAGAACTTAAATACCAAATCCAACCTGTCCCTTCCCTACCTGTAACCCTCTGTGGCTCCCCAGTGCCCCCAGGACAGAGGCTAAGGCCTGGCATTTCCAGCCCCTCATCAAGGATATAAGCTTAGCTTTTAGGGATTTGGGGATTGAACATGTGTTTCCCCAAGTTCCCAGATAGCCACGCGGGTCATTATCACACACCTGATAGAGTTTCCAAAAAGCAACCCAAAGCACAGAACCTCGGAGAATACAGATCGGACAAGAGAAACAAAGAATAACCAGCAGCGCCACCTTGTGGAGAGACCCAGCACTGCCAAGGAATCAGCCCGCCCCTCACCAAAACGAGTCCCAAACCAGCCTGGTCCAGCTGTGCGCCTCGCCTCCCTCCCAGCTCGGCTTCCATCATCACCTCCAGAAATTCAAACATCTGTGTGCCACTGCACGCCGCTGCGACACCCCTCCCCCAGCTTCCAGCTTTGCTCTTCCTCTGCCCGGCGTCCTTTGAGTTGCAACTCAGATACCACCTCCTCCAACTCCAAGTCCCCAGGTGGCACAGGGAACCTCGCCTTGGGCACGCTCCAGCAGCAATAGCAGTAACACATACACCAGCAGCCGCTGCCCACTCACAGCCCTGCCCTAACCCCGTCCTGTCCGGCCCAGTTCCCTTAAATCCTTGTCGCTGTCAATGAGCAAGGTGCCACTGCCATCATCTCGTTTGCAGAGGAGGAAGGGAGGTCCCAGAGGTGTGGCCGCCAACCCAGGGTCGCTCAGCAAGTAAGTGCAGCATCAGAACCTTCAGCATCAGGGTCCAGGTGTGACTCCCCCAGGCCTCCAGCGCCAGCAGCAGGCCTGCCCTCCAAGACCAGCAGAGCCCTCCCTGCGCCTGTTCTCTGTGTGCAGCTGGACCATCTCTGCCATCCGGGCATCTCTGCTTTTCTTCCCTGGTTCATTCCTCCATAGTTTCCGGCCCTGGTCCCCGCCTGCCGTCAGCTCCAAGAAAGACATCGTCCCCAAGGAGCCAGCTCTGTTGTCCACCTGCTCAACTAGGGTGCGGCACCTTCTCTGGCGTATCTGGGAGCCGGGGTCAGCTGAACAGTTTGGGGTCTGAGGCGGCCAGAGAGGCCCGAGGAGGCCAGAGATCCGTGCTAACCACCTCGGCCAACATACTCAGTGCTTCCTGCCCGCCACGGCATCCCATCCTCACGCCACGTGGCGAGGTGTGCACTGTGACCTCATTTTACAGATGAGGAGAGATGGACGCCCAGAGAAGGTAAGATGCTTGCCCAGGGCCACACAGCTAGAAATGCCACTGCCTGGGACTGACCCCAGCTAGCCTGGGTCCAGGAAGAAAAGAGGGGGTCCGCATGAGCTGGGGGACAGTAGGAAGGAAAGGCTGCCCCTAACCAGGGCCCTCCAGCTGGCTCCCAAGTGTGGAAGAGGTGGAGAGGGAGCCAGGAGGCCTGCAGCCCGCGCTGGGAGCCGCCAGGAGCCCCAGCTACTGCGTCGGGCGGTTTCTCTCCATCATCCTTGTGGGTTGTGGTGTGTGTCTCACGTGTTGAGCCCCATGCTGGTGCCTCCCGTGTTCCATGCCCCCAACCACCTCACAGAGGCAGTACTAGGGTCCACGCTCCACCCAGAGGGAAACTGAGGCCCAGAGAAATGATGTCACTTGCATAAGACCACACAGCAAAAAGATGGCAGGAACGAGTTCGAATGCCAGCCTGTGTGTCTGACTCAGAATCTGTGTCCGTAACTGCGGTAGCTGTGGTCTCCCCACCCTAGCCCCAGGGAGAGCGCAGGTCTGGGGTTAGCCGAGAAACCACTGGGGGTGAGGGGAAACTGAGGCCAGGTGCCAGGAAGGTCACATGGGGTAGCAGGGAGGCAGGCGGTGGGACAGGCGCACAGAAAGTGGGGTTAATAGTTAATCAGGTGGAGGAGGCCTCCGAGGGGTGGAGACGGGGGTGGGAGGAGTGCTCCACCGGGAGGAGGGTCGAGAGAGGCGCCAGGCAGAGCCAAAGTCAAGTCTGGGCTCGGGGAAGGGGGACTCACCCTCCTTCTCCGCCATGTCACAGCCTCTTGTTAATGATTCCCCGGCTGACCTCCTGGGCCGGGGTGGGACCTGTGGGGAGAGGAGCGGGGAGGCAGGGCGTGGGGGAGCCCAGCCCAGCCCAATCCTGGCGCCCCAGTCCCAGGCGCCCGTCCAGGGAGGCTGGAGGGCCGGGGCCTTGGCCAGAGCACGCTGTGATCACGGACGCAGACCGGGCTGGGTTCAAGGCTGGGGTCAGTGTCTAACCAGCGGCCAGGGGATGACTGGATTTGCGGGACCGGGGACCCCCATGCCGGAGCCTGGGGAGGAGGGGCCTGAGGATCGGAACTCCTGGGCCAGAGGGAAGAGAGGGCTGAGGGGCCTGACCTCCTGCGTCCTGGGAAAGCAGGAATCTGGGGGCCGGGACTCCCCAGCATGAGGGCGGAGGGGGGAACTGAGGCCCGTCCTCCGCGTCTGAAGGAAGAGCGGGCTGGAACGCCGGTCCTTGGAGAGAAGTCAGAGGGCCCACTCTTCGGGGTCCTGGGGGCCCCTCTATGAGGAGGTGGGCATCAGGCCGAGTAGGAGGTGAGGGCGCCCCTGTCCTCGGGGCTGGAACCGTGAGTGGGGGCCCTGGTTCTTACCCTGGGGTCCGGCAGGTGGGGGCGGAGCTGCGAGATGGTGCTGGTTTGGGGTCAGTCTCCAGGCCTGGGCAGGAGCATGGTGGCCCGCAGCAGCGGGCGGCCGGGAGGCAGAGGCGGTGGCGTGGGGCCTGCTAGGCCAGCTGCCTCACCTGAGGAGGAGGGGGCTGGGCGAGGGGCGGGGGAAGGGGCGGGGAGGGGCCGGACAATGGGATTGGCAGCGCTGGAGGCCACCTGGCTGGTGGGACTGGGACTGCCCGGGCTGGACCTGGCGGGCTGGGGACCGGCCGTGCCTCCAGCCTCCAGGGGCCCAGGTGTGCCGGTGTGCGGGGAGGTGGGAGCAGGGACAGGCTCGGCCGAGGGCTGGGGGTGCCTGGAGCACTGAAGGATGGACTCAGAGGCGCCAGCACCCCCTGCCCGGCCTCTGCCCCACCTCGATCAGCGCCTGTGCCTCCCAGCACCCCCCGCCCGGCCTGGGGCCATGCTGCCTGCCATTTCCTGCACCCCCTGCCCAGTTCCCGAACAGGGAAGTCCCGCCCCGACCCCAGCCCCCTTCCCTGCCCTGACTCCAGCCCCAGCGCAGCCGCCGGGCCCGGCCCACCCTCCCCCAGCCCCCTCCCCCAGCTGCTTTCCTACAAGTCACGGGGGCTGGTTTGCTTTGGCAGCCTCTCTGTCGCCTGCAGAAGTGACCTCTGGAGCCAGGAAAGTCCTGGACAGGGGGGAGGGGGGCTTGGCCCGGAAAAGGCAGCACCGAGTGCTGAGGCCCAGGCCAAGGGGCCGGAAGCAGATACACAGCGTCCCACAGCAGCCAGGAGCGTCCCCGTCAGAGCCCAGGGCCAGATAAACACCCAGACACACCAGGGTCACCATCAGACACCTGCCTGTGGTCAGCCACACACCCGCACGCCCTCGACCACGGCTGTGCACCCCTGCCCTCCGCGCCCCACCCCCGCTCCCTCGGGCTCCTTCCCACGCACCTGCCACTCAGGCACCCCCAAGCTCCACGTGGCCACACACCAAGCCGCGGAGCCGGACCTGTGCTCTTTCCCTGTCCTCAGCCCTCAGAGTGTGAGGCACATTCCTGCCCTGGGAGGGGGTGCCCCGGGGGAAACTGAGGCTCCAGGATTTGGGGGTAGGGATGGAGAGGGTGGCTGGGCTCATGAGGGAGACTGCGACTCAAGTCCAAGAATCTTTATTTCATGAACAAAACTACTTCTGTAAAGAGAGACAAGGCTGAACGGGCCGTTCTGAGTGGCCCCAGTCCCAGGCTGGTGACAGAGGGCGGGGGTGGGCCGGGAGAGAGTGCATCACAGGGAGGGGGACCCCAGGTCCAGCCGGAGGAAGCGGGAGGAGGAACGATGCTGGGGGTCGGAGTGGGTCCCAGACCCCCTGCCCCAAACTCTCCCAGCCCGTCACCACGCCCCTGCCACGGGCAGGGATGAGGTGGGGAGGGGCTGGCCCAGAAGTGCGTGTCCGAAGCGGCCAGTGTGTGCAAATCAGCGAGAGGAGGGGTGCGGAGCCGCTGCCCCCACCTTGCCGCCCCCTCCCCAAACAGGCAGCAGAAGCAGGGGCGGGGCGGCGGCAGTATTGCTTTTCCATCATGCATGGCGGTGGGCAGGGGCAGGAAGGCTGGGTTGGGGTGCGAGCCAAGCCCCCCGCCCCTGCCACCCTGGCAGCTCCCTTGGCAGGGCTCTGAGGCACGTGGAGGCCCAGGGTGGCCGAGCCCCGGCGGGGCAGGCTGCGCCTGGGTGTTCCTGTCAGGGCTCGCTCTTCCTCGAGGGGAGCGCAGGGCCTGGGGGCGGGAGAGAGGGGGAGTTAGGCGCCTAGTGGGCTGCGACCCTCCCCGACCCCCCAACCCTGCCCACTCACCCACCTTACCGGGGCTATTCGGCCACCTGCACGCCCGTGCAGTTCTCTTTGCTTTCCGACGTGATGGCCAGGTATTCCGAGCTGGGGGAGGCCGGGTGCGCAGTGAGCCCACAGTGAGCCCGGCCCGGCCCCAGGAGACCGAGGACGGCTGCGGTCTCCGCTCCGAGCGCAGAGGGCTCCTGAGCTAGGACAGCAGGCTCTGCGCGAGGCCCTGGCTCGGGCCTGGGCTCCTGAGCTTGAGGCAGGAAGGGGCTGGGGCCCGACAAGCCCGTATCCCGTGTCGACAACCGTATGGGAGGGACAGCTGGCACCCTGGGCCACTGCCTTGTCCCCGCACCCACAGCTCACGCTCCCCTGCAGCAAGTCCCAAGCGGCCCTGGTCACCTCGCGCCCTCCTCCCCGACCCCACTCACGCATTCTCTTGCGCAGCAGCCTCCGTGGCGGCAGAGATCTTCTTGTAGCAGTAAACCATCTCCGCCACGAGCCAGATGGTCAACACCACGATGAGCACGTACATCATGATCTCGGACACGATGGACGCCATGTCTCTGTTGGCTGCAGGGCCAGGCAGGGGTCAGGTGGGAGCCGAGACCGCCGGAGTGTGCCACGAGCTTGCTGTGTGAGCTTGGGCAAGTGGCTCGACCTCTCTGGGCCTCCATTTTCCCAAATGTAAAAAGTTGCTAATCTCAATATCTCCTTCATGAGTGTTATGAGAATCAAACAAGCTTTCAAAATCCTTAGCATAGTGCTTGACCTATAAATAGCACTTGATAAATATTCATGAGTATGAATACCACTATTACGTCATAACGGGGGCAGGACAGCATCATGGTGAACAGCAGGGGTTCTGTCTGAGGCCAGACTGCCAGGGTTCGAATCCTGGCTCTGCCTCTTACTAGCTGTGTGACCTTAGGCAAATGATTGCACCTCTCTGAGCCTCCATTCCCCCCGTGTAACATTAGTATGATAACACCCATACCCTCTCCCAGGGCTGCTGGGAAGAGGAAATGAGTTAACACCCGTGACATGCTTGGCTGAGCACGCAGCCGGCGCTGCCTGAGTGTTGGCTGTTTTCCGGAAACCCCACATCCTCTCCGCAGCGCTGGCCTCTGCCATTGCCAGCGTCCTTTCATTCAGCCTAAATTTAAACTGTAAAGGGAGCGCGGTCGGCCAGGGGACCAGGGTCCAAAGCCACTCTGACGTCCTCGGGTGGATTTCTGGGACAACCATCCCCCATCCCGGCCCCTCCAGGACGGCCGAGATCCCACTTCCCCCGCTTTCCTCTCGAGTCTTCCTCCCCGTGAGGCTGAGCAGGGCACTTTCGGCTGCGCCACCCCTGCAGATGGCAGCCAGGCTTTCTGGGGCAGAGGGAGGGAGGGCTGGATGCTCCCCCACCCCACCCGCACTTCCAAGCAGGAGGAGCTGGGACAGGGTTCCACGCCTCATTCGTTCTTTCTTTCTTTCTTTCACTCATTCCACAGACATCAGTAATGCATGCCACGCAGGGGGTGCCTGCTCTCGGCCAGGCTGGGTGCTAGGTTCTCTATCTGAGCATCTTCCGACGCCTCGGAACAGCCCCGCGGACAGGGCTTGTCCTGGTTTCCCACGTCAACGGGCTGTAGGAACCATGCTGAGCCGGATACACGTTGGCTACAGCTCAGTGGTCGGATTTCTTCCCCGGCTCCTAGAACCTAATGCCCAGCTGGATTTAGGAGCAGGGTCTCTGGCTGTCCTGGCCTTCTCACTTCCTCTCCTGTCAGATTAGCACAGCGATAGCCATGGGTCTGTAGCCCGTGTTCCGGATAAGGACACTGAGGCCCAGAGAGGGGAAGGTGCTAGCCCAAAGATGCACAGCCCAGAGAGGACTCGAGGAGCCAGGATTCAGGTCCCGGTGTAACCGACCGCAGGGTCCGAGCTCTCACCCGCTCTGGAAACCTTCCACAAGCTTGGTAACTGCTGCCATGTTACCAAGGTCTCCATGGACCCACGCGGACAGCTCAGGAGGGGGAACCGCCGCTACCCCCACCTGACAGATGAGACACTGAGGCCGAGGGGAGCTTCTCACGGGGTCACATAGAAAGTCAGAGGCACCTTCTCTAGGGAGACTTTCGATTTCTTCAAAAAACCCAAAGCTTCTAAGAGCTTCGCCCGCCCGGCCCTCGCAGGCAGCCCCCGGGGCGGCAGAGTCCCGGCCGCCGCTGCTCTGCAGGCCGGATTTCTCACCGGCCTCAAACACACGGCGCGGCGGGCGACACTACCCATGCGATAACATCGCGACACTACCCATGCGATAACATCGCGGGTAACGAAAAAACACTGCAGTGTGATGAGTCATGTTAAAAATACTCTAGTATCATGTGTAATGATGAACATAGCACGAGGAATATTGAAAAATATCACAATATGATTGATAATATTTTTAAATACCACAGCACAGCATGGTGGGCAAGGATAAAAATACGATCATGTGGCGGAACATTAAAAACACTCTAGTGTGGTGGATTATGCTAAAATACTATTGCACGTTTGGCAATGCTGACGTAGTATAATACAAACTGCTGCACTATAGTGGGGGATGTTAAAAAGGCAGTGCTATAACAAGGTGCAGCAGAAAACACTAGAACTTGGTGGATAATGCAGAAAACACGGACTCAGGGAGGACAGCGTGAAGCGCTCCATATTCTGGTGAATGTTACTAAAAACCCAGGCAGACCACGTCAAAAAAGACGCTCTACCGGGTTACAGCGGGCCTGAGCCCCCGCCCCCGCCCCCGCCACCCAGATGGGCAAAGGCCGAGCGACAAGATGGAAAGAACCCGGGTGGCTGAACGGGACCCGGGGCCTCCCGCCCACACTGCCCCCCCCTCACCTCTGCACAGATCTGTGAGACAGAAACGACACAGGTTTTGTTCGGCCCCAGGATTTGAGGACGTCTGTGTCACAGCGACTCTGCCTTGCCCCCCCCAATGAGGGCAGGGCCCCCCCTTCCGTATCCGTGGACGACCACCCCCCGCCAGCATCGTGACCGACACCAAGGAGCGGCTCAGGCGTGTATTCTCACTGCGTTCTGCTGCGCCACTTTGACAATAAACGTAAAAATGCTAATTATAAAAAGAAACCCACGGGCCCTGGCTGACAACAGAGCACAGTGAATCATGCCAAGAAGAGAAACGCAGTCACCCAGGCCTGGATGAGTTCAAATCCAGGTCCCAGCTGCGCGACCTTGGCCACGGAACCTTACCTCCCTGAGCCTCGGTTTCCCCATAGGTAAGATGGGGATAGAGAGAG